ACTATCATCATCATCACCATTATCACCACTATCATCATTATTATCATCATCATCATCACCATCATTATCATCACCATCACCATATTTACCATGATTATCATCATCATCACCACCACCAGCACCACCATCATCATCACCACTATCATCATTAGCATCATCACCATCAGCATATTCATCATCATCACCACCACCACCATCATCATCATCATCATCATCATCATCATCATCACCATCAGCATATTCACCCCCCCCACCCCCACCCCCACCTTCACTCTCACCCTCACTCTCACCCCCACCCCCACCCCCACCCCCACCCCCCCACCCCCACCTCCCCACCCCCACCCTCACCCCCACCCCCACCCCCACCCCCACCATCCAAAGCCTAACCCCCCCGTCTCCTTCGCTCTACAGGCCCTCCCTTCTTCACCGTAAACCGCAACTGGAATGCCAAGTCGGACGCGGGAATAGGAAGCGTCGTGGGGAATATCCACGTGTTTGATATATCGGGACTACCCTTCAACGTCACCCTCGAAGGCGATGCGAAGGACCTGCTCCACGTGGATTCTAAAGGAGGAGACGTCACGGTAGCTCGACCCCTGACGCAAATGGTATGTTGCGTCGGGAAGCGTTCAAGTTTTTGCACAGTTTGTTCATGTTGTTATATGTATGTGTGTGTGTGTGTATGTATGTATGTATGTGTGTATGTATGTATGTGTGTATGTATGTATGTATGTGTGTATGTATGTATGTATGTATGTATGTGTGTATGTATGTATGTATGTATGTATGTATGTATGTATGTGTATGTATGTGTGTATGTATGTATGTATGTATGTATGTATGTATATATATATATATATATATATATATATTTTTTCACTTGTTTATTTATTTGTTCATTCGTTGGTTCATTTACTTTGTTTTAATTATTTAGTTATTTGTTTCATTGTTTGCTGATATTTGATTGTTTCTGTTTCATTATTTACTGATTTGTTTAAATATTTGCTTTTTAAATTATTTGTTTATTGTTTATTTATTTATTGTTTATTAATTTGTTTATTGCTTGATTAATTAATTGTTTGTTTGATTATTTGCTTGTTTGATTATTTACTTTGTTTTTATTTGTTTATTTGTTTCTTTACTTATTTGTATAATGATTTACTTATTTTTTATTATTTTCTTATTTGTTTGGTTATTTACTTATCTGTTGAATCACTTAATTATGTGTTTATTCATTCATTTGTTTAAATATTTATTTGTTTGATTATTTACTTTTCGGTCCTGTGTTATTGTTGTGGAAATGAAATTCAGAATCTACTGGTTGTGAGAGTTATAATTTATTATACTTTTTGAATTGTAGTATTTTTATATCCGTTTGGGCATGAGTGATGTATTACCTCACAGTGGAATCCTTAAATGATGATGATAATAATAATAATAATAATAAATCAACCCCCCAGATCGGCAGTCATCTCCTCGACGTCGTCGCCTCTAGCGGAGACCAAAGTGCCATAGAGTCAGTGGTATTCAACATCGAGAAAGGCACGGCGGTGGCAGCTACTCCCACCCCCACCCCCGCCCCCACCCAACCCCCAACATCCTTCAGCAACCCCAAAGACACGACCAAAAGCTACCAGGACCTGAGGGTCATCGGGAACAGTGCCGGAAACTCAGCACCTTCTTCGCCGTCGTCGTCGTCGCCCTCCGACTCCTCAACGACCGCGTCCCCGAAGGAGGCATCCAGCGAAGGGAGCCTCAACCTGATGGTGATCCCGATTGTGCTGGTGGTCGGGGTGTCTCCGCTCCTGCTGGCGGCCTTTTGGTACTGGCGGAGGCTCAGGAGGAGGAAGGCCAGGGCGGAGTCCAAGGTAAGGAGTTCGCCAGGAGTTGTATTCTGTAAATCTTGTCAAGGAATTGTTATTTATTCATTTTTTTTTATTTGTTGTTTGTATATTTTTGCCTTTTGCTATAAGTACATTAATTGTTTTCAGACAATTTCTTGCAAAGAAACATTAAAAAAAAGTAGAGCAGTGTCCAATATACAAACTAAAACGATGATAAATAAATATAAACCCATCCGTATAAATAAACCTTCACGTCCAGGAAAGCGCAGTGGTATACACAGAGAAAGGCATCGAAGCAGGAGCCACAGAAAACGCAGAGGGAACTAACGAAGAGAGAGAAAGAGCAGGAAATAGGTTTAGTATCGGAGTTACTGCTCTCTGGCGAAGAAGGGCAGAGAGTAATAAATACGAAGATGGTGTGAAAGGAGAGCAGAAAGGGGTACGTTGTGGCTTTGTCTTATTTTTGTAATTGTTCTTGTTTTGAAGGCTTGTTTATTGATATGTGTAATGTTATATTTTCCTTTTTGGTTGTTGTGTGGAATATCAGATATATTTAGAAATCACACACGCACACAGACACACACACACACACACACACACACACACACACACACACACACACACACACACACACACACACACACACACACACACACACACACACAATCACACACACAAACGTAATCAATTAATCACACACAATAACACACGCACACGAATTCGAATCCCAAAAGACCCGCCTCATCGCCTCCATCTATAACCCTTTGCAGAAGAGGAAAGTGAGCCAATTGTCACCCGACGCCGACATCTGGGAGTTTCCACGACACCGACTGAAGGTCATGGATATTCTGGGGGAAGGATGCTTTGGTCAGGTAATACGCGGGGATGTCATTGTCGTTGATTGGGTGTTAATGTTGTTATTTCCAAAGATAAAGTCACAGTTAAGGCTATAATTGCTTGGAGGGTAAATTACTTGTATTTTCATTATCATATATGGGAAGTTTATTATCACTTAAGAATATTGTTATGATTATAGAACTGCAATTACCACGCCGAATGTCGGTTTTGTCCTTACATCTGTACCTTTGCTTATACGCATTATCATTTTGAAACCAATAAACAATAGAAAAAAAAATCAGTAAACAGAATAAACAGAAAAAAAGAAAATCAAACAAATTCAAAATTATTCCTTTTTACCATTTTTTTGTTCCTTTTACCATTTTTGTTTTCTCTTTTCCATAAGGTGTGGAAGTGCGAAGCGGTCGACCTTCAAGGCAAAGGCACGATGCTAGTGGCCGTGAAGACCCTGAAGGAGTCGGCAGGAGACAGGGAACGCCAGGACCTCGTGCAGGAGCTGAAGGTGCTGAAGAGTATGGGAAGTCATCTGAACGTCGTCTCGCTCCTGGGATGCTGCACTGAGAAAGGTCGGGAGAGACGCGGGGAGGGGTGGGGAGGAGGGAAGGGTAGGGAGAGGGAGGAGGGAGGGAGGAGGGAGGAGGGGGAGGAGGGAGGGGGAGAGACGCGGGAGGGGTGGGAAGGGGAGGGAGGAGGGATGGGAGGGGGAGGAGGGAGGGGTAGGGAGTGGGAGGAGGGAGGGGTAGGGAGTGGGAGGAGGGAGGGGTAGGGAGTGGGAGGAGGGAGGGGTAGGGAGTGGGAGGGTGTGGGGATGGGAGGGGGAGGGGAAATGGGAGGGAGTGGAGAGAGAGAGAGAGAGAGAGAGAGAGAGAGAGAGAGAGAGAGAGAGAGAGAGAGAGAGAGAGAGAGAGAGAGAGAGAAAGAGAAAGAGAAGAGAAACAAAACAGAAAAGAGAATCAAACAGAAAGAGAGAGAGAGAGAGAGAGAGAGAGAGAGAGAGAGAGAGAGAGAGAGAGAGAGAGAGAGAGAGAGAGAGAGAAAGAAAGAGAGAGAGAGAAAGAGAGAAAGAGAGAGAGAGAGAGAGAGAGAGAGAGAGAGAGAGAGAGAGAGAGAGAGAGAGAGAGAGAGAGAAAGAGAAAAAGAGAAAAAGAGAAAAAGAGAAAAAGAGAAAGAAAGAGAAAGAGACAAAGAAATCACCAATAACACCCCCACCCCACACTGTGACAACTAACGCACCTCCACCTCTCTCCCAGATCCGATTTTCGTGATCCTCGAGTACATGATCGGAGGGAAACTTCAGAGTTACCTGAGGGCCTCGAGAGCCGACACGCCCTACGACAACCTCCACGGCTCCTCCTCGTCCTTGACCCCGCGTGACCTCATCCACTTCGCCTACCAAATTAGCAGGGGCATGGAGTTCCTCGCCAGAAACGGGGTCAGTAAGCGAGAGGATGAGTAGAGAGAATTGATAAATGTGATGATGATAAATACGGTGAATTAGTGAGTGTGAATAAATACGGTGAATTGTTTTACAAGGTTTCAATTGATATGATAATGAATAGATTAGATGATTATAGATAAGATGAATAATGGTTCATGAACGAGAAAAACAACTCCATAATAATAATAGTTATGTAATAACAATGAATATATATAGGGAATCAACAAGGTTTATGTATGTATTTATGTATTTATAAATAGATAGATAGATCTTGCACCGTCAATACAGTCGTCAATACCAACACAGAAAGAAGAAAAATAACCTCTACGTCATCCGCAGGTCATCCACAGAGACTTAGCAGCTCGCAACATCTTAGTGGGAGAAGACAAGATTTGCAAAGTGGCCGATTTTGGATTCGCGAGGGACGTTGCCAATAACCGGGTTTACGAGAGGAAGAGTGATGGACGGCTGCCTATCAGGTGGGTAGGGGTGGACGTGGGAGGGGGAGGGGGGAGGTTGGGGAAGGTGCGCTTGTTTGAGTCAATTTTTAATGATTGTTAGGTTTGTCTATTTTTTTTTTTACTTGATTATTTATCGTATTTTTCTTTTTCTTCTTCTTCCTCCTTCTCCTCCTCTTCCTCCTCCTCTTCCTCTTCCTCCTCCTTTTCCTCTTCTTCTTCTTCCTCTTTCTCCTTCTCCTCTTCCTCCTCCTGCTCCTGCTCCTGCTCCTGCTCCTGCTCCTCCTCCTCCTCCTCCTCCTCCTGCTCCTGCTCCTGCTCCTGCTCCTCCTCCTCCTCCTCCTCCTCCTCCTCCTCCTCCACATCACTATCATCCCCTTGCTCCTCCTCCACCACCTCCTCTCCATCTTCTTCAACCACCACCCCCATTTCTACCACCTCCCCTTTCCTCCCGTTCCACCTTCAAATTCGCAACCCTAAAGGCACAGTCAACTTCAAAATCAAATGGCCAGTTCAAATTCCGCGCGTCACTCATGGCCTTCCTTGTTCTTCCAGATGGATGGCTCCTGAATCGCTGTTCGATAACATCTTCACTACAAGGTCGGATGTCTGGAGTTTCGGTGTCTTGCTGTGGGAGATTGTCACTCTTGGTAAGTGAATACTTGTATACATATATGCGTCATTGCGTGCATACATACCTGCATACATTCATCTATCCATACATACATACATAAAATACATACATACATAAAATACATACATACATATAGACATACATACATACATATATACATACATACATACATACATACATACATACATACATACATACATACATACATACATATATACATACATACATACATACATACATACATACATACATATAGACATAAATATATACATTACATACATACATACGTGTGTAAATATATGTACATGCATATACATACTCACATACATATGTAATTACATACTTGAACAGATATATCAACATTTTCTCTGCATGTATAATAAACACTCATATTGAGACTTAAAGTATTGTTAATATTACGGCTATTATAAAAAAATAGTGTTATTACTAGTTATTTTTATTATTACTTTCATTATAATAGTAATAAATAATATTTTATAATGTATGATATCTAAGAATATATATGTATATATATATTGGATATTACATAGCCAGATTGACTTTACCATTGATTAAGCATATTCATTCACAATATTTAGATTGTCACTTCAATTACATCATCATACCATATATCTAACGTCTTTTTTTTCGACAGGCTCCACACCCTACCCTGGCATGGGAGCTGCTGAGGTCATGAGAAAGGTCAAGTCAGGTTACCGCCTGGAGAAACCCGAACATTGTCGTAGAGAGGTAGGCATCATGGCGAATGGGATGTGTGTGCGGGGTTATATGTATGTGTGTATGTGTGCTTGTGTTTGTGTGTTAGTGTGTGTGTGTAATTGTCTTTTCCATCTGGTAATTGATTTAAAAAAAACAACCAAAATACTCTATATGTACGAATCTAACTCCCCCAAACCACCTAACTATCTCCTTAACTCTTAAAACTATCTCCTTCCTACAGATCTACAACATCATGTACTACTGCTGGGACAAGGACTCCAAAGAACGTCCTTCCTTCACCGAGCTCGTGCACACACTAGAGGGTCTCCTTCTGTCAGAGGTCGAGTACATTGAGCTCGACCGCTTCCCCGACCACTCGTACTATAACTTGTCCTCCGAGAACACGAGCGAACTTCTTTAAAGGCCTAGTTCTCTGGGGGGGAGGGGCGGGGGTTAAACGAAAGGAAAACTACGACTAAATTAGAGAGAAAGAAAAACGATAGTTAGAGAGGTGTTGTCATTATGAGCATGTGGATGTGAAAAAATAAAATGAAGAAAAAAAACAAAACAAAAAAAAAACGAGGAGGTGTTTTCGGGTTTGAGGATGTGGTTGTTATGAAAAAAACAACAACAAAAAAACGGAGAGCTATTGTTCTCATGAGGATGAGGTTGTTATAAAAAAAACGGAGAGCTATTTTCATTATGAAAATGTGGTTGTTACGATGTAGTTTATGTTGTAGATATGTGGTTGTTTTTAATGTGGATTCTGTGGTTCTGGATACGGGAATATTTTCTCTGCCAGTTTTGTTATTTATTATAGCAAATACTCTTTTCTCCTGCCATATTCAGGAAGTGATCTTGGCTGACAACGTTTAAAAAAAGGGACCATAAACATCACCTTCTTTGCTGTAGTAAGATAATTACCTGCTTATTTTTTGTGGTGTTTTTCTCGACTAAAGATCTTGCAGGTTGCCTTTTCACTGCATATGAACTGTTATATTATTCTGCATTGAACCATATTTGAATATGTGTGATGCATAGATGTTATAGGATATTTGCTATGAATCTTTGAACTACTGTTTAAGAATTCAGTTTGGTATTTTCCCCACCAGAGACATTTATATAGTTTCATAATAATAATAGAAATGTGCTTTCCTCTATATTGTATGCTTGTAATGGTAACAAAATATTTCCTTTGCTGATATATTTGTTAGGGTAAATATTTTTTTTCACACAATGGAAAAAAGTGATGCTAATGTTTCGTTTTGACAATACATTAGATAGAAAAATGTTGATAGACATGTCACATATAACACACCTACAGAATGAACATCGCTAGTCTCTTGTCACAAATATTTTCACGATGCATGAATGAGAAACTCTTGTTCTCATGAATGTTCGTGTGAGGCCACGAACGGGTTACTCTCTTCTCCATGAAAAGCTGTCTGAAAATGGCATGTGGTATTTGTATTGCTTCACTCCAGTGTTTCTTCTGAAAGTTCAATCGCGTGCGCGCACGCCCGCACACACACACACACACACACACAC